ATTTTTCCACAAAGGAGCGGTCTTATTGGTCAGTTCTTAATGCACAAAGTGCGACATAGTTGGGATGAGAAGCCAAAGTCAGGAGGAACTGTCTGGTAGAGACATCGCATGACGGCATCACGGAAGAGAACTGTCAGGCGCAAATCCCAACAACCTTACTCTGAGCAGCATCGGGCGCGGATAATGTAGTCAGCATCTTAAACATATGAGCGGTACGACAGGCTACATCTTATCTGGTCTCACGTGCCAAAATGACGCAACCTTTTTTTTACTGTTTTGGTTACTTACCAGTAATTTAAATTTCTCTTTATTGATTATAGAGTACCGATTCCTTTTTAATGATTGTCGTTTGGTACATTTCATAGTTTGTTGATTGTACAATTTCACACGTATTGTATCTTTCTTTCTCAGCGATTCGGTATTGCATTGGAATCTTGTGGACTCAGGTGTTATACTATTATTAACGACTATCTCAGAGGCTTCATCATAAAATATCGTTGTTCCCTCGTAGAATTGGTTCCACCAATTGGCAACCAGCGACACCTTGTGATTTCTTTACGTACTAGTCATATTTGTAGAGATATTTGGTCCTATTGAGACACCTTCTTTTAAAACTTGAGTTACTATGAAGATACCTTGTTTTAGGGGTTGCATGTGCAGACGGGTCCACCGCCATTCGTCTTTTCTTTCTGCTAAGGTACGGCGTGAGCGTTGTTTCGTTAACATCAAGATTTTGGGATATTAACGACCCAATCACCAGATTATGGAGTACCTTACGTTTGGTTGTTTTGGTTTGGGTGCTACTTCACCCATTTTCTAATGAGATATTAACCTTCAGCGGTAAGTTCTTTTTTGTATACCATCGAACTACGTCCATTAATGCATGTCCTGAAGTTTGTTGAATATCTGCTTGCCTTTAGTGGAAAGACATTGCGGAGAACCAACCACCATTCACACTCCTCTTTGTTTTGTAGCTGTCTTGTAGCTTTATTTTAGAACAAGGGATAGATTTTTGAGAGTATATTACTTTAGTGCATTTTTATATTTTCTTGCTCTTGCTGTACTTTTCTTGTAAAATAGAATGTACATGGTTTTCCTTCAAGTTTTGAGTATTTAAATGTGTAGTTCTGTCTCACACAGAAAGTAGAGAGTGGATCTTTAGGAAGTTTTTTCTCTCTACGGTTTTTTTATACCGTATATTTTGGAAAACGAGGCAAGCAGCTCCTCACGTGACTACCCACTGCTGTCCACTGGTTGTTGACCTGAGCGTTTGTGAGCTGATGACATTCCAGCTGCGCTTAGAGCCACAACTGGAGGAAGACCAATGTTCAGATACGTACGTGTATCATGGTAAACGTTTTGCAGGGCTGATTATCACAGTCTAGTAATTTTATTCTGCAGCAATTGAATAATAATATCCTTTTTTTTTCTTGTCTAACTTGCACTTCAGTGGTGGAGCGTATGTGCTGCTTGTTTTGATAATATATTGTGATTCTTTTTATTAAATATCTTGTTTTATTTGGCTCTCTGTGTAAAATTAATTGAGTTTTGTCTTTTTTTTGTGTGGGTGGTCAGGCAAAACAAGTTTCGATTAACACCTCGGGGATTTGTGGTTTAATCCGCCTTATGTCACTGGCGCCCTTAACCCCACCTACTCTCCACTTTATTGAGCTAGAGCCTAAATTTGCACGCCACTTCACAGCTGTTTTGCATTGACTGACCCTTAGATTTTATTTATTCAATAATTAATTAATCAGTGTTTTATTTATTTAGTAATTAATAATCAGTGTTTTATTTATTTAATAATTAATTATTCAGAAAAAAAAGAAAGAGGTATCACACCACCATTTCCTCTTGTTTATAAAAAAAGCGTGGTACTAGGTCATTGAACTTATTGGGCCCATTTTAAGAAACACTATTATTGAAGGCTAAGGGTGCGTTGTCTACGATGGATATCGTAACATCGACCGCAGCAGTCCCAGAATATAGCGTCGAAACCCAATTTGTCCTTGTGGACAATGTTGATGGTGATATTATGAAGGCGTTCTGTTCCTTGAGCTGTTTTAGATGGACGAGACAATGAAGACAAAAAATAGTGTTTTGCTCGATAGATTTTTCATCGCATTGCATGAAAAGCCATCAGTCAGCACCAGCAAGTAGGAACGGTGTACTCATACATCAAGACACCGCCACAAAAAATGAAATTACAAAGCTTTGGTTAGGAAGTAACGCAGCGCTCACCATATCTTCCAGACCTATCGTAATCCTGTTTTCACTTATTTCACACTTTCTCAGCAATCTTGATGGATACATATTTGAGTTAGTTGAGGGATTCCGAAATCAGCTCTTCTACGTTTTCGAACGTTGTAGAGAGGCTAAATGGCCAATATATTATTGATTGAATATATTATGTCTATAGATATCGGTAGTTATCGTTTCTTTTAAAATCCGAAAATTTTTCCTCCGACCCAATAAAACAATTGATAGAAACAAACAGAAGATTGTCGGATTCGCCTCTGGTGAGTCGATATACCTATCTGAGCATGACTTTGACTTTCAAGTTATCAATGGATGCAATAGTTCAGACATGGGCATTTGTATAAGTAATAAGCTTAATTTTTAAGGCGTGGAAAAGTATTTCCAAGTTAACTCATCTTCAAGACCATATGATTCTGAATCAACTTTGTAATGATCAGAAATGTTGAAAAAATCAACAACAAAAAATATAGAAATACAAGACAGACACACAGCCGCAGAAGTGACATGCTACGTGACTGTCTGATCTACACCGACGAAACAAAGATGCGTCTAATTCGTTTCGAACTAAGCGGATTAACACAGGCATTCAAAACCATGTCGTAGGCCATAAGGGCTCAAAGGGTCGCGCCTGGCCTGCGGACCGTACGTCACCACGATCATCGATAGATAACCTCATGTCTCCTAGTGATGTGCCTTCAAAGCTGCAGTTATACCAGTATCTTTGAAAGCCCTCCAGTTTTTTTTTTGGGAAATTTCGTATTTGCCAGTACTTTAATTTCTTCTGTGTTTAGTGCAGTTGATTTCGAGATTCGTGTAATAAGAAATACTTTAATAGCTTGCATAAAAATGCAAAACCAGCAATAGCAGCTATCTGGATTAGACGTAGTTTGGTTAGATCTTTATTAGATAAGCAGTATTTTAGGTGAAAAATAAAACAGTTAAAATGGAGAGAAGAACGAAAATAAATCTGGTGGAACATGTTAAATTTGTATTATTCAGGGGAGCTTCGACAGTCTTTTTGGCTAAGCCTTCTTGGCTCTTATTAACTGCTGTACTAAATCCATGATTATCTTCAATTTTTATATTTTCATGGTATAAATAAATGGCTACGTTCAGTTGCACCTAGTTGCTCCGAGCTAAAGCTGCGTTAAGTATGGCTTAGCTTAATCCGCTATAAGTTATCTTGATGGAAAATTTTGTAATCTTTTACATTGGTTCATAGAACTTAGGTATTTGAGGAAGTTCATGCTCTATTAGTTGTTAGCAAAACGTAACCGATATCATTGTCAACCAATGTATCAATGGGCGTGTTCAGTTTACGTAAAGCGGTCTGAAAATGCAGCGCTTTTATTCTGAATAGCATGAGGTTAGGGATGATGGACGATACATCGACGTTTCTGAAGCATCAATGTTTATCTTTACGATATTTGTATCCATAGATGGAATGGCTCTGTCAGGATGTCAGCATTTTTCACGTGGGTGTCAGATTTTCTAACAAATTGTTGATCAAATGTTGGAATAGTCAAAGCTGTTTCGCGGCTACTGTTATTCAGCATAAAAGAGTTGCACCATGAATTTCGTATAAAATAAGTAAACTGATTGACTAACTGTTCATGGACTTTTCCAGCTAAGAGAAATCGCACAGCTGCTCTTCCTTGTTGCACATGTGAACTGGGTAATAGAGGACCGCTGTTTTCATACGATTTCAGGAATTACTCTAGCTTTAGCTCAAACTGTCACTGCCCACTAATCGCGTGTCCAGGCATTGTCTTTTTTATATCGAATGTCAACGAAAATCTCACGCTCATGACAACTGAGTAGTCATACGACACTGACAACCATAGTTTTAGTTAGTTAGTTATATTCATGGAATGCCACGCTAACAAATAATATTGCTTTACCTACTGTAGCATAATCATGGACGAAAATACCCCTGGTTTGCGAAATAATTGGTGAGTCTGGTTTTATTGCTGCAAGTTGTTCAAGGGGGTGTTTAAAACATGGACGCATAAAATGAGTACACCAATTTTTGTGGGAAACCATTTTATTCTACAACAAAGAATGAGAAACTGTGTTTTTGTTTGTTTTGGATCCAATCAAAAGTGTTGGCAGAAACGAAAAAACTCCCCATATCAGATCTTTAGGTATTTATGAGACCTACAAAATGAGACCATATGTTAAAAGATCCGACTAATAGCAAAAAAGTCATGGCCGAAAACCGAGGCAAACTGCAGGTTTTGGCACTTGCTGGTAATGCGACGATGGTCTCTCGTAGATATTTGAAATTTATTAAATTCTTAGGATTCGTACTTCGAAATAACCACAACAAAATTGACCTCGCATTAACAATATAACAACCCGAGAGACTCGCTGCGGCGTCTGTGCCCTTGAGTTCGATGGACGTAAGTGTGGGTAAAAGGACCTCGTCATTTCTCGACAATAGCTATGATTTTTTAGTACCTGGCTTTGCCTCTATGGAACTCCTACATTATTATTATAATTCAGATACTCGGTTCCTCAATAAGTCCTATCGTTTTTGAGAATAGAGTTTTTAAAGAAAGCAGAGCTTTAACTTATATGTGGACATAGGATATGAAAATGATATCGGTAGTTTTACTCAGGTATTCCAAAATCAGCAGATATACCTGCAACTACAACCCCATTAATTTTTTTATAGAAACTTTCGCAATACATATTGATAGATATTATGTAAAAATCGGCTCCGGTATAATAGTACTCACCAAATTTTCCGGTACTCCACCTAAATTAACTGAAGTATGATTGAAAAATCTGCTTCGGAATTCGAACTGTACAATGTAGTGTTATACTCCATTGTCCCACTATATAATACATAAATCTTTGAATTTGTGTATTTCTGATTGTTTCAATAATTCTTATCGACAATAGACATTTAATATTTGTTAGCTGAATTGCACGAAACAAAATAGAATGGCTTAAGCTTGCACATGAACTTTATTCTCATTGTAATAAAGTAACTGTGCTGCTTATACAGGGTACGTGAATACCTGCGTTAAATATGCTTTTGAACGGTCATATTCAGTACAGGTGAGGTTTTGCATTTTTCTAATTTTGTTTATAATGTATCACTTTGCAAAGCCGCTAACAGATCTAAAAAGCATAGCAAAGTTCATCACAAGATTACTACGTCATAACTTTGCCCATTTATCTATTATACCAAGCGTCACTTTAATACTATGAAGTCGCCACACAGCAGTAGATTAATGTTATTTTAATGCAAGACGTGTGCATCGGCTTAGATATGGCAGATACAAAATGTGTTTAGGAAGCTGCAATATTTTAGATACCAACAAACAAAAATTTACTCTGCAAGGTTTCTATCAGTCACATCAAATGATACTGTTTTCAAAGTTTTCAATGTTGACCTTAAATAACGAGAAAAAATATTTCATCGTAACTTTTATATTACATCATTGAAATCGGTGTTGGGAACTGATATATAGTTCATAAAATACCACAATTTTTGATAAAGCATACTTGCTATACAAATATTGCAATACACTTCGAGTTCGTTCTTTCTATGAGCCCCGCGAGCGATCTATGTACATTTTCCAGTTGATTCCTGTGAGTCTCATATTCGGTAGATTTTTGTATCTACAGACTCTGCAATTGCTTGTCAATAGTCAAGCGGAAACTTTTATTTTCTCAAAAGTCTCTTGATAATGCCCACAGAAATCAGTGGCGTGGTTAGTTGAAATGCGACACACTGTTAAAATTACCATAGGGTAATTCAGTTAGATATATCCAGTAGAAATTATGTCGTTTGATTCCTACCGTCAATCCACTGAGTAATATTCGAATCACTGGAGTAAAAATATGAATATTAGAGTCAGTGAACTTAAAGACCCTGCATCTCAGTAAGGAATCCGTAAATTACATAGGCTAATAAGAAGCTTTGTGTCCGCTGAGCCTCAGAAAGTAGAGCTGGGATGTTGATGAATTTTTGACACAAAGTTATTTTGTTATCCTTCTTTCGTACGATGTATGTGGATTGTTAGCTATTCTTGTTAAATTGCTAATTGGTAGCAGTTTCGCTCCAGGAGCTTCTACAAGAGCTTAATGATCAGAAATAAAGCAAATTATTGGTCTGTTAGTCTTTTCCAATCAGGTTGACTCTATACCTCACATGCAATTGCTTTGGTCGTGTTTTTAAATATAGTTAATACGACGTTGAGTTTGGAAATAAACAGAGCACAACTTCAAAAACGAAACGCAATGACCACATATACACTAAGAGGAATAATTTTATCTAGACCTAACGTAGCCATAATAATTTTATTTAGGACCGTAATTATGCGTTACCTTACTTGACAATATAACGAGTTCACGATTTAGGAATCATAAAAAAATAAATGAAAGAATATTTGCCTTTGCAAAACCAAACAAATGGATATTAACATCGAATAATCCGTAGACTAGTTGTATCATTATTTGCGTTTTGGTTTTATGCACAATTGCAACATTAATGGACCATATACAGGCTATGCCTCCTAGATACCCTTCTTTCATATTTGTTTACCCATTTTTCATATTGTGTTTTAGGAGTAAATACATATTATCTATTTGAAACTTTTTGCTGGTGACAAATGTGGCACTGCATCTCGAGATTGCCCTTTTATTAGATTACTGGGCCTTCTATGACAGTGGGCTAGATAGTTTTGATTTCTATGCCAACATTCAGAGAAAAATCTGCCTTGTTACGCCATATACGACATACTGAATACTATATTTGCTTACAGAGCTTATTCCAGTATAGTACAAAAGTTTCAAACCCAAAATAAATCAGTATATAATGGAAGGGAATTTCAAGATTTAAATATACCTGTTCCTTGGGGTCACCTTGCTGCAAGGTGGTGGGCGCCTTATGAGGGTAGACCAATATTAGCCGTTCACGGGTGGCAAGTAAGTATTATATGTTACCGAACAAATCCAATTTCAGGATAAACTAGTTTTTCCTAGGCCAAATCTCCGTAAAAGGTAGCTGCGTGGCTTTGGCTCGCTTAGTTTGCACGCGTACGTTGCGTATTGTGGGTGTCATTCATAACCTGGACATTTTGGAGCATTTTGTGTTATTTATTGATCTAAAGTTTGGAGTGTTTTTCTATATCTCATTATCATGGATGACGCTTCATCAAGTGGACACGTAAGTCAAAAAGAGTGAAGGCAGAGATTTTTGTAAGAGGATTTAAGATCTGAGGACGAAAAATCAACTTACTTTAAGGTTTGGAAAAAGGAAAAGGTGTTTGGCACTTAAGCAACAAGTGGAAGATGCTGAAAAAACGGAAAAGAAGTCACCCTTGCAACAAAGAAGACTAAAAGGTTTGATGTGGAAATCGAATGTGTAAAAAAACTTACTGCATGATATGAAGACAGTACAAATTATATAAAGTATTTTTTTCACTGCTGATGAGTTTAGAAATGAATTTGATATCTGCGCACAATAGTTTTTTGGGAAGAATAAGTGAACAGAAACAGTGAACTTTCGTTAAGAACCGCAGCGATCAACAATTCAGTTGGAACAGGCCAAGGTTCCTTTAAGTGTAGTTCCACCAAGAAGTGTACGTCAAATCGATGTCTTTGCAAGAAAAATAATGTTTGATATGTAAAAACAAGCAACTAATAAAAGTTATTAAACATGTTTGTGATAATAATATTTTTTTCAATTAGCAGTAAAAGCATTACTTTTGTGAAGCGACTGTATATACAACAGGACAAATCAGTATTGCCTAATTACGCTTAATTGATTTTAGGTCAAATCAGTTTAGACTAGGATAAACTAGTTCATCCTATCGATCTTCGGATACACTTTAGACTACGAAAAACTAGTTTATCCTAAAATCGGGTTTGCGTAAATATATCGAATAAATGTATGCTATGCAAAAATAATCTTAGTAGACAAAATCGCAACCTGTTCAATCCGATCCTGTTAAACAATAAGACATAGAATGATGTGATTTCGCCCAGTTTCTGAATATACTCTAGTAAAAATAGGCAAAACTGTCCATTAGTAGCATTTTGAGACACGACACAGGTATTATGTAAAAAACCTATGAAACGTCAAAAAAGACCGATAAGATGTCATCTTGCAGACTAGACAGTTTTTAGGGTACAAACAGTCATTCTACGTTTGCTCACTAGGATCGTTATGACAGTCCATCTATGGAGGAATGACTCAATCACACGGATACACGCATAGTTGGTTGCATATGTTTTGTGAAGCCGAGTGGTCAGTAGTTTTCATCTCTCAGAAGAAAGTTGGTTATTTGGTTGAATAGCAAGATCGCATCTGGATGATTGCGTGTATAAAATATATATATTTGCTATGTGAGAAAATCATTACTGAATATGCTGCCAATGAAGTATATCTACTGGCTGTGCCCGACGGGTTGTTTATATGTTGTGCTTTCGGAAAACCGGTTATGTTCAAAGTCATCAATTATGATTTTTTACGTTTTTTGTGTTTTCAAAAACTTTGAGGAGAATTACGTGAAATCACCACACCGCCCGCGTTGTGCGCAATTACTGTTAGCATGTGTAGGACTTGCGATTCGACAGTGTACAGTGAATATAATCATTTCTTATCTCTCTCATTTTTGAAATTCATCAAATTTCCTTATGTAATTTAAAGAATGTATAAGAAAAAGTGGATGCACAACTAATGTCTAGCTTTTAATCTCAAGTGAGTGCATTTGACACAAGAATCTAATGGAATCATCATCAACACATATTATTAGCACACAAACCTCTATGCATCTCAAAAAAACAAAAAATAAAACCCTGAACGATAATCAAATTGAAAGCGAAGATGAAGTTATTGAAACAACGTGTAACAGCCATAATGAAATCAACTTATTAGACCAAATTAAAACTCAAAATAAGGAACTAAAAAGAATAATTGAACAAAACAATGTTTTACTGTTGGAAAAAGCAAAATACATATTACAATTAGAAAAAGAAAACAAAACACTACAAGAAGATTACGAACACAGGACTAATATAATGCATTATATCGAAAATATGGATGATAGAATTGAAGCTGTTGAATCGAATGGCATAAACCACCGATCATATAGCCAAGTAACAGCCAGAACTAAGACATACAACAAACCCCTAAAAACACTATGCGTGAATCCCACTAAAGAACAAACAATACTTGAAACAAAAAAGATTTAAATTAAATTGACCTATCGAAATTGAAAGTACAAGCAGACGACATTAAACACACTAAAAAAGGAGGAATCGAATTGAAATTAGAAGAAAAACACCTCACTACACTGAAAAGAAACTACCAAGAATCAAAATTGTCGGCCACAGAAGTGAAGAACCACCTACTGAAACAAGCCTCAAGGAAAGTATTATTAGACAAAATCACTAAGAAAATGATATCAAAATTACTTATATAAGAAAGAATCACTTGAAAAATTATTATACATTATTTGCAGAAGTGAATGGAAAAACATATAGATCCGTCACAGATGAAAACAATGGTAAAATATTATTACATTGGCAGAATTTGAATGTATATGATCATAACCAAATCACACAATGTAACAAATGTTTTAGATTTCACCATACTTCATATAAATGTAGAAATAATACGGTGTGCATCAGATGTGGAGGGAATAATGAAAGTCGCCTATGCAACATTGAAGGAAATAAATGTGCAAATTGCATATATTTTAATCAGAAATATAAAAAAAATTATAACACCGAGCATATACCAACAGATCAAAAATGCCCAGTTTATATATATGCAGTCTGAACATCTTGATTCAATCGATTTTTGAATCTTAAAAGAAAATAAATAAATATAGAACAATAGACAATTACATAATTAATTTTAAGATTGACAGAATAAAAATAAATTATATATTTCACATGAGTCAATTAAATGCTTTAATAACCAATGGAAACATAAATTTAAAAATTTTTCACATAAACTTAAGAAGTCTTAATAAAAACTTAGATTCACTAAAAGCTTACATTTATTTTTTATCTGATACATCCGATATTTTGATATTAACGGAAACGTGGCAAGTATTCTGCCTTTTATATAGTTTTGTACTAAGTTATGGATCAGTACATAAGGGATATCAATTATACACAATTTAATACCAAAATCCTGAATAATGCTTCAGAATATAATATTTCAGATAGAAAACAATTTAGCATATTTCATCAAAATATTAGAAGTATATCAAAGAATTTTGATGAACTAGAAATATACTTAAATTCTTTTAATAACAAATTCGATGTTATCATTTTAACTGAAACTTGGAATATTGCAGATGTTAGTTTTTTCAAGCTAAATGGTTATAAAGTATTCTACAACAATGCAAATTTTAATCAAAATGATGGTGTTATCATCTACGTAAATAAAGTCCTAAATTCTACGTCAGACACTATACAGTTCACAGAATAAGATAAACGTACATAAAATTGTTATCTCAATAATATCTTTCTACAGACCACCCTCAACTGATATAAAACAATCCTTAGTCGATCTCATATCTCATATTATTTAAAAGGCCATGTTATAAATACAGACTGCTGCGTTTCAACATAAACATCTTAGACAGTAACAATTTGCTTTTTCATGAATATCTTAACACGCTGTCTATACTGAACTTCACCTCAATTGTGAATATTCTAACTAGAGTGCATGGCGCCTCATGTACTTGTATTGACCACATTTTTTTAAAAAATAAACAAGAAAATGATAATTGTAAAGCTTTCGTAATGAAATCAGATATTACTCATCATTATAGTACAGTATCAACTATACCCCTGAACCTTGCAGATTTTGTACATACTAACCCTAATAAAGTATAAGGATATTATAGACTATGAAAAATTAATAATAGACTTAAAATCTGAAACCTGGAACAATTTATATAATGTAAGGAATGTCCACGTAGCAACTAAATATCTCACTATAACAATCACTGAAAGTATATCAAAAAATACCAGGAAAGTTCAAATAAATCGTAAAGACCGTCCCAGAAAAAATTGGGTAACTGCTGGACTAATTAAATCTATCAATGAAAAAAACGAGAAATATAAATTATATAAGACAAATCCAACAGACGAAATAAAACAAAATTATTTGTACTATAAAACTTAACTCTATCAATTGATCAACATTTCAAAATAAAAATATTACACAAAAACTACAAAACAACAAATCCGACTCTAAAATGCTATGGAATACCATAAATCAGATCTGTAATTCATCCAAACCTGAAACAAAAATTTAAGAAATAAACGTCCATGATGCAACACTTAACACAAGTAGAGATATTGCTGATGCACTCAATAATTACTTTATAGAAATAGGGAAAAAATTAGCAATGAAAATAAATGAACCTAACACAGATATTCCGCCTAGAAAATGTATACAACAACCGATTTTCTTAGAACCTGTGTCTGAGAATGAAATAAAAAATGCCATACACAGTTTGAAAAATAAAAAAAGTCCAGGTCTTGATGGTATACGATCAGAAATATTAAAGAGAACTTCTTCCGAAATTAGTAAGCCCTTAACGTACATAGCAAACTTGATAATTGAATCGGGAGAATTTCCAGATGATTATAAAGTAGGAGTAGTAAAACCCATCCACAAATCCGGTGAAAAGACAGATACTAACAATTACAGGCCTATAACTCTAATATCCAACTTTGCAAAAATTATTGAGAAAATTATAAAAACACAACTTCTAAATTTTTTTGATAAACATAATCTGATTAATGAAAACCAATTTGGATTCCAGAAAAACAAGTCTACCCAAGACGCAATTTCTTTTTTGACATCAAAATTATACAAATTACTGGACCAAAGTGAATATGCCCTGTGTGTGCGTTTAGATGTAGCCAAAGCATTCGACACAGTAGACCACTAGCTACTATTAGAAATCTTACACGACTCAGAAATTAGAGGTAAGGCTTATAACCTCATGACAAGTTACCGTTCCAACAGAACACAGTGCATACAAATAAATAATTCCTTAAGCACAAACAAATTTATATCGTATGGTGTCCCACAAGGGACAGTGTTAGGCCCCTTATTATTTACACTTTACATTAATAGCCTACTGAGCTTAAAATCTGAAGGGACAATCATATGCTTTGCAGACGATACTACTATCATTTATTCGGATAACAGCTCCTGGGATGATCTAAGAGTGAAGGTTGAAAGAGACTTAACGATAATTGCAGACTGGTTCAGACATAAAAGCCTAACTATTAACTTTCAAAAGACTATGGTCATGCCATCCTTTGTATCTATACAGATTAACTGTGATAATATAAATGCTCAAATAAATTTAACAAACAAAATAAAATATTTAGGTGTATATTTAGACTCACATTTAAAATGGAATATACATATTAATCATATAATAACCAATTTGAAACCATTATTGTTTAAATTCCAGTATCTAAACAAATATTTGGATAAAAGAACAATGAAAATTTTATATCATGCTATGATCGAAAGTCGTATAAGTTACGCACTATTAGGTTGGGGTGGAGCACTTGATAACCAAATTAATAAAATAGAAATTATCCAAAAAGAATTTTTAAAAATAATCTTCAACAAACCATTCTTATACCCATCTGATCTGTTGTATTCTGAAGCAAAACTATTAGACCCTAGGCAACAATTTTTTTATAAAATTATAAATTATCAATTTCACGATAGAAATAACCTTATTCCGTTAGATCACTTATATCAAACTAGAAACAAAATCAACAACATTAAGCGAACACCTTTCACCTCAAAAAGTATAGGCCAAAGATGTCATACTTACCTTTCCAGTAGATTATATAACATATTACCAAATTATATAAGAAATAACTTAAATAAAACAAAATTCAAAATTGAAACCAAAAAATTTATAATTGAAAAAAATCGACATCGAATTGCGAACATGATACTTATGAAAGAAATTTAAAATTAATGTAATAGTAAAAACCCTCCAACGTTCATATACTCGTATATGTGTGTATGTGTGCATCCATTTATGTGTTTATTTGTATGAATATACATGTGTACAGGGTGTTTCAGTTTATCGTTGCATAACTTTAAGATTCGATAGAACTTTTAAAATTAATGCATAAAGTCTATATAAACATGGGTCGAAAAATGCGTAGCTTCCGAAATACAGGGTGTTTAAATTTACTTTCTAAAATAGTTTTTTTCTAATATTTAGAACAATATTTGATGTATAACAGTGAAAATTGGTATACATTGGTACGACAAAACGAACCATGGGCATAGTTTTACTGTAGCCGATAGAGGGCGCTTTCTACTGTACCTGTAGTGTATTAAAATGACCGAAAATATTTTCTTAGTGCAATTTTTGCTTTTTGAATAAAAAAACTGATTCTTCGCATTTTTCAACATAAAAAAGCTCTCTTGTGAATTTTCGTTATAGTTAGCCGTTTTTGCGATATTTCGATTTTTAAGGTTCGATGCATTTTTAATTATTTATGATAAAATAACGTTAAAAAGTCAGTATCTCGATAATTTTTAGAAGTAGGCTGTGCCTGCAAATATTTTTGAAATTGAAAGCAGAATAAGGTTAAACGTCAATTAAATGACAGTTAGTTTTGTTGTCTGTTGAAACCTGAAACGTTTTTTGCAATTGTGAATGCACGAAATTTAGTGCGGTTCTCGTAGGCGGAGCCAGAATGTGTGCATGTTGCATGCACACGTGTTCCCTCGCCAGAGTCCGTGTGGCGTCCCCCCTTTTCCCATGTATCCCCCTATAGCCCCACGGTACCCAATGGGTGCTTAGGCCTTAGGCCTTCGTGGTAGTTGGAGTATAAAAAAAAAACGAAATTTAGTTTCTTTTGCCTGTTTTATTTTTTGTAAGTTTTATAAAAATGAAATTTTCAGCATGAATTTAGTGTGAACGTGTGGATTGGTAACTACCGTAATCGACTATTTGGACCCTACCTTTTGCCTGCAAGGTTAAATGCCGCGACCTTCCTGGAATTTTTAAAGGCTGAACACGCAAATATGTCGGATGATGTTATGTTAGATTTAAGAAGACTGGCCCGGTTCCAGCTTGATGGCTGCCCAGCTCATTATTCGAGAATAGTTAGAAACTGGCTGGACGAAAATTATCCAGAAAGATGGATCGGCCGTGGAGGACCAGTCGCCTGGCCTTCACGATCCCCTGACCTAAATCCATTAGATTTCTTTGTGTGGGGATTTCTAAAAGAAAAAGTGTACCAGACTCTCGTAACCACAAGAGATATGCTAATAGACAGAATCAGGAATGCATGTGATGAAAAAAGGCCTTATTTGAATAATGCTATACCACGTTCGATCATTAGTAGATGTGAATTGTGTATTGAACAATTGGGTTTACATTTTGAGCATTTACTTTAGATTTTAAATGTTTGTCCTAACTATCCAATAGTATTTTAGTTGTAAATAATTAATTTAATTTGTTAAAAATAATATTGGAAAATTAAACAAATTAATATTCTGTTTTTTTTGTGTTTATTTGGAGTTAGGAATTATTGCTGTGTTTAAAAACACAATCTAAACTATCATATTAATTACTTGTAATGCCCAAATCGAAAATGTAAAAAAAATATTATTTTCCCATAAATAATTAAAAATGCATCGAACCTTAAAAATCGAAATACCTCAAAAACGGCTAACTATAACGAAAACTCAAAGGAGAGCTTTTTTATGCAGAAAAGTGCGAAGAATCAGTTTTTTTATTCAGAAAGCAAAAAATTGCACTAAGAAAATATTTTCGGTCATTTTAATACACTACAGGTACAGTGGAGAGCGCCCTCTAGCGGCTACAGTAAAACTATGCCCATGGTTCGTTTTTTCGTACCAAAAAAACCCTTGTATACCAATTTTCACTGTTATACATCAAATATTGTTCGAAATATTTAAAAAAAACTATTTTAGAAAGTAAATTTAAACACCCTGTATTTCGGAAGCCACGCATTTTTCGACCCATGTTTATATAGACTTTATGCATTAATTTTAAAGGTTCTATCGAATCTTAAAGTTATGCAACAATAAACTGAAGCACCCTGTATATGTACTCTTATATATGTGTATATCTGTATAATATACATACATATTATGATGTGTATAGGTGTATACGTGTGTGTGTATGTCTATATACGTGTGTATATGTATATTTATGTAAAAATTTCAGTTAATACCCACGCACAAGAATTTATTCTTCTGTGGGTAAATTCAGTTTATTCATGTATACCTATGTTAGTTTTAGTTATATTTGTATGTTACGTGAATAATTATTATTATTATTATTATTATTATTATTATTATTATTATTATTATTATTATTATTATTATTATTAGTATCTATGCATTGCCGTTACCTCCAGTGATGCCATCTCTGAAGCAGTTTTTGCATCACATCAGAGCCAAACATTGATAACTGAAGCCTCATGACGTTTAATACAACTACAAAGAACGAGTTAATTACGTGTACATCAGCTGGTGCTGAGTTAACATCTTGTAGAAAAACCTAAATAACGTCACCAGAAACCAATATGTCAAAAAAAATCGGTATAATGTCACTTATCAAGATACGTAATACCCGTGCCGGTCAGCAAACGTGAACTCAAATCGCATGCCCATGGCCTGTCACACTGACAGTTACAAACCTAGATGAGATATATGTAAATGTTGGCGTTGGTGAGAAAAATGTCGAGGTGCTTGGAAAAAATTTAAGAACATAAATCTGCTAGCTTATACTCGAACAGACGCAAATTGCCGATACATGGTGAGTTTTTAGAGTGGGCTCGGTCGATTTTTACGCATAGTATCTAAAAAGGCTGAACATAAAAATTGGGGCCAACACCTTGCTCCTTTCTTCTCCATGGTAAGACCCACAACTACGTGGTAACCCAAACGTGTATTTTTTTGAGTAAAGGCAATTTCATAAATTAATATAGGGTTTTAGTTTCAAATTGTTTTGAGATAATGCCGTAATCTATCGAAAAGACACCTAATTTCCGCGGCTAGGGTACCAACTTTTCTTCCCATATTTCCTCTTTTCTACTTACTTTTTCAGTTTTCCATATTCAGAGTGGTCAAGAACGCAAATTGAAAATTTTATTTAAAGTTACCGATAACCTTTGTGTAAATCAGATGTCCGGTCAGACGAAAAACAATACAGTACATTTCAACATAAAGCATATTGGGTTATTAATGGCAGATCGTTAAAATTTGTGTATTTCCATTACCAATCAAGTCTACTCAAACCGATGCAGTAATGTCGAAATGTCAAGATGACCCTGTATTCATAGAGCATCTAAAATGGCGTTTAGTGAGTTCATTCCGCACTTCCCACGCAACGCCGCAATAAGTTTATACAACGGAGCCCTTAGCGAGGCTGGTACGTACGACAGTGCACCCAGAGCGCAGACGCAGGCACGTGTATTGGAAACATTTTTCTGTGAAATATGTCTAATAGTTGGAACGTATAAGTACCTAAACTAACATCAAGAAATGAAGATGGGTCGCTGAAATGCCAAAAGGCGAAGTTTGAGCGATTTCTACTTTTTTCATTTTTGTCCAGCATCTCCGCCTCCACTAAAGTTGTTTAAAAGACTATAGTAGCAACCCTGTACGAAAATTTTATCCAAATCCGAGACAAACGGATCGACAGACTTGACGACGCAAATGAGTAACATGGTTTTTCGTGATGTGCATGTCATACAACATAAAAATGTCATTTTTGTTATCGCATATGAAGTAAAACTAGTCATACAATCCCCCACCGACCCTATATTAGAACAAATCTTGTGTAGAGGGAAATCAAATAATGTCACATTATACAGTGTGGGCCTTTAAAAAACTTTTTAGAAATAGTTATTTTTTTTCTTGTCCACTCTGTATAAACTGTCGAAGAGCTGGAAAAGTTGGCAGGTAGGGAGAAAATATGGTGCATATCATATCATGAAACGACAAATTTGATACCTATACAGGTGTGTAGGTGCGAGTTGTCTAACTTGAGCGTTTTTTTTTTCGATGGGGTTGTCGACCATCTCAATAATTTGAAAATAAAACCTCACATATAGTCTGTTATATCACGTTTCTTCGCTTGAGAGGGTCTGTTCAGGTATGCAACAAAATGTATGTCTTCAAAAAATCTACGTTTGGTTTACCACTCTGCAGAGTTAGAAATATTTCTCGAGTTAATTACATACTGTTGCAATCATCTTTTTCAAATACCATGCATAGTACGGGAGTTATAGTCTAAGCCCATATTCAAAACTCACCTTGAATCTATGTGTGAGGGAGGTAGATGTGTGAAAGTGACACCGGTAGTTCAATTGTAGTACTAGACCATCATGTTGCAAATCAGATAACTTTTGGTGAACATAATAATTGTATTTTCAGAATAACTTGGGTGTTTTCAACAGAATTATTCCGATGTTGGAGAAAAACATTGGATTCTTGACCTGGGATCTACCTGGACATGGACTGTCACCTAGAGAACCGGCAGGAACATACTGTCATCACAGTAGTCTTTTGCTTTCGATTAATTATATAAAAGAATACATGAAGTGGGACAAATTCTCATTTTTGGGACATTCCATGGGTGAGTGGTATTTTATTCAACCCTTTGCGGCCTACTGGTCCTCTGAAATGACCACCAATTCATAGCAATTTACTGGGCTCTTGATTTTATTCTGTCGTTGCCACGATAATGGCGCTGTTCTTCAATCATTGGTTAGCTTTCAAGTCAGGTTACTCTGAAGTTAACTATGAGTTGACTGTGAATTATGTTTTCCAGTCAACAATCCACAAGTCGTTGATGTCGTAGCTCTGCTTTTCTTCTTGAATTATCGTATTCCATGCGTTTCGTGATGTCCACTGCAACCAGAGTTGCCAGACGTACGATAATTACGTACTGTACGATACAATAATCAAATCCAAGCGAATAACCAACATTTCTGTGTTATGTACCGCGGTTATAATATGGTTTAAGATGACACACGGGTTAATGATGTCAGTTACTCGAATCGCTTGAACGCGTTGGTTTTAACCACGGTTTTGTTGCAAGTTGTTTTAGAAAAGCGCGTATATAATTTCTGATTATTTTTATTATCCCCTAATAATCCGTGCTTCTTCATCTACAACAGTGTATGGAAAGTTTAAAAAAGAAACCTTTTGTAGCATTAATAGTAGAAATGTTTTTCTTTTCAGTAAATAATGTTTAATGATAGAATCATGGCTTTGTAGCTATAATACCAATCCAAAATGGTAAATACCATTATCATTTGGTTATTCGCTTGAATTTGATTTATGCGTACGATAATAGATAAATGTACCATAAATTTGAGAATTTGCTTTTTTACATACACTTAACTTCTGCCCACTAGTGGATATAGGTGTTATGTAACAAAATCATTGTATGGAGAAAATTGACAATTTTTATTGGGATTATTTTTCGCTTTATTGATATTTTAAATATTTAGTTCATTTAGCTTGTTATTACATGAATGGTATTATAATTAATCGCTGTAGTCATTTGTTCACAAAATTCAACCGCCTATCGAAATTATTTTTGATTAACTCTTGCAATAGTTTCATTTTGAGTGGATGAAATTTATGGAGCTTAGTAACTGTGCACCAGGGATGTCTTTTAAGTTTTGCATACAGAAACATAGTAGGCCGCGTGGATCGAACGTCAGTACTAAATCTTAACCTCACTCTTTAGTAAATTTAAATCCAAAGTTTCACAACAATACGTGCAGACGTTTCAGAGACAATTATCGCAACAAGAATGTCTTGCTGAGTTACTGACTGTTTTCGGCAACGAAGCGCCACATCAGTCGACAATTCCCCGTCGGTATGGAGAATTCAAACATGGACGGGTGAGTCTTAGCGACGATCCCAGCGTGGGTGCACCAAAAACGGCAGTCACCCAGGAAAACATCGATGCTGTGCGCAAACTCATCATTGAAGATAGACATGTGACATATCGCGAGATTGAAGGTCTCAAAGACCTCAATTCAAAAAATTTTAAATGAAAAATTAGGAGTAAGAAAATCAGTTTCTCGTTGGATACCCCACCTATTGACTGAAGAGCAGAAAGCAGCCAGGGTTAATTCGTGTCAAAAAACGCTGGACGGTTTCAATTTCGGAAACTCAAAAAATGTGTACAGCATTGTTAGTGGTGATGAATCGTGGATGTACTGTTATGAACCAGAAAATAAACGACAGTCGGCTGTTTGGGTGTTTCAAAGGTGAAGAAAAGCCAACAAAAGTCATCCGTTCTCGAAGTGTTTCTAAAAAGATGGTCGCGACATTTGTGTCAAAAGCGGGTCGTATTGCAACAATTCCTCTTAATGAGCAAAGAACTGTTACTGAGGATTGGTATACCACCATTTGTTTGCCAAAAGTCATCACCGAGCTTCGAAGAATCAACCCCGAAAGAAGAATCATCCTCCACCAAGACAATGCAAGCTCGCACACAGCCCAAAAAACAAGGTAGTATTTAGCCGAAGAAAACGTGGAATTATTGGACCAATCCTCCATATAGTATTCTTAACGATTTCTTTAACTTGCCGAAAATTAAAAACAGACTGCGTGCTCAAAGGTTCCAGTCACCAGAAGAAGCAGTTGACGCATTCAAAAATGCCGTTTTGGATCTGCCAGCAAACGAGTGGAATAAGTGTTTCGAAAATTGGTTCGAGCGCATGCAGATGTATATTAATCTTCGTGGAGAATACTTCAAAAAACAATAAAGTCATTTAAAACTACCTACCGTGTTGTTTTATTTCCATATGCAAACTTAAAAGACATCCCTGGTATAGAGCCTATGAAGTACCAGTCGCAGCAACAATTTTGCGTAATGAAGTATTAGGATTCATTCCAAAATCACCCAACTTATGCGGCTTCATCCACAACTCTCCGATGATCACGTTTTTTATTTGCGACATTTGAGTAAATTTAGTAACAAGGTAGAATACACCTCTATGGGAAGTTATCTTTGGAAGTAAAAACTAAATCAATAAAGAAATTTTCACTATTCCAAGGTTGTAACAAAGGTTACTGATAGCAAACTAAATTCTTTTTTTGCCCTTAGCAACAAATAACTAAACGGTATAACAATAACTATTTATTCGCCCAGGATATCTGTGTTGATGAAAATAATGCGAAAAAAAATTTGAGGTATTTGGTTGTTGTCACATCTATCTTCCGAATTGATGTTTATGTTGTACGTTATAAACGAATTGTAGATTTGGTAAACGCCAACGGGCAACATTTTGAGCACTTATTGAATTAAAAAGTAATACTTTCACGTGTTTAATAAATAAGGTCTTTTCTAATTTTGTTTTTGGTTAAAAAGTTGTCCTCCTCGACAAATCTTCTGACGTGTCTCCGCGTTTTTTCTTTTAATCAGTGGTTTTCGCCAAATCGGTGGTGGAAAGTTTTCAAATGGATACCCTGTATAAGAAGAACGCTAGTTTTCGCTATATTTTAGGTATATTATATGGTATATCATGAGTAGGGATGCAAACTTTTTATAAATATCGATATATAGATATCGATATATATCGAAATAAGTCGATATCGATCTATCGATATATGGGTCTATTAAGACGATATATCGATATTTCATATTTTTTGAAGCTTACAGAAATTAAAAATCCAATGTTGCTTCAGTTATATCAAACGGTTATCGATTATGTATGTAGTCGTGCCATAAGTTCTGTCCCATGATAATCTCATGATAAAAATGAAACAAGATAAGATATATTTATATGAAAGATATTATTTATTCGACAACATTTTTAGAATTCATAATCGAACAGTTTTATTCAAAATGTTCCCCCTTGGCCTTCACACACTGCTTCAATCTCGCGGGCCACTCATCTATCACTGCACGCACAGCTTCCAAAGGAATAGCTGCCGCTGATCGGATCAAATCCGCTTTCAGGGACTCGATATTACGGTGGGCTTTGGAGCAGGCCAACTGCTCTAGCAGGTCCCACAACTTGTAGTCTAAAGGATTGAGGTCCGGACTCCCTGAGGGCCAATCTTCCGCAGCAATGAACTCTGGCACATTGCTTTCCAGCCAGCGCTGCGTACTCTTAGCCTTGTGAGCGGGGGCGGAATCCTGCTGGTAGACCCAGTGTTGGTTGGCAAACAATGTACCACTTAAAGGCTTGACGATAGGATCCAGTATGTCGCTCTGATAGTTTGCCGCTTTTGTTTTCACGCCCTGTTTACAGAAATGGAGCTGAGTGACCCCTTCGTAGGACACCCCCCACCAAACCATGACTGACGCAGGGTGGTGGCCTCTCTCCTTGCATACACTTTGTCATTTTGTCGGTTGAATTTTTCTTCTATGGTGAAGATTTTCTCATCCGTGAACAAAATCTTTCGGAATCCCCCAGCTGCGTACCTCTCCAAGAGCTTCTTGGATCTTGTCGCCCTGATGTGTCGCAAGGTGGCCGTAAGTCGCTGGCCCGTACGTCTCCGGTAAGCCCCTAGCCCTAGGTCTTGTTTAATGATGCGCGACATCATCCGGACAGGAATCTTCATTTCCCTGGATAGGATCTTCTGCTTCCGGAGTGGATTCCTTTGAATCCTGGCTTTTACGGCTTTGATGGCTGCTGGAGTCCTTACTTGACGAGGTCTTCCGCTTCTTGGCCTGTCATCAACAGAGGACGTCTCATTGTACCGCTGAATGGTCCTAGACACAAATTTACGCGATATTTGAAGGCCGCGTAAGAGTTCAAAAATCTGACTAGCACTGTGATTACACTTATGTAAAGCTATCACTGCAATACGGTTCTCTGCCTTGCCCCACTCCATCGTTATGCTTCGAGAGATCAATACAAACTGAGGTATATGTAATTACCCGAAAAGCGCTTAATCAACTGACACCACAATGTAAACAATCGGACAAGTATTAACAGGTCTACACTTGTTTGAAAACGAGGGACAGAACTTATGGCATGACACGTATATAAATTTTTATACTTATGTATGTGAAGTGAAACAAAATTCGGATAGGTATATAAAATGTGTTTTTCTTTCCATACATTTATTTGTAAAAATTAATTCCAGTATTTTTCACTAGTTATTGAACTTAAAAATAGTAACTTTGACAGTCTGCTTGCTTGTAGCCGTTATTCTGCTCTGAGTTATAGTGTCTCCTGTTTTTGAAAAAATACGTTCGGAAGGAACGCTTGCTGCCACAATTGGTTTCATATCCAACGTCACGTTCTTCTGGATGTTTCTGTTTAATATGTGATGCTAGATTGTTTGTATTTTCAGACGTTTTAACCCGTTTGTTACAAATAGTGCAAACGGCAGTACCATCTTCTTTTTTGAAATATGCCTGTCAAGCGTTTCACCCGATTTTGTGGGTGTTTTAATTTGGGTGGGTTTTTAGATATTTTGATACGATACATTGAATTTTTCGATATCGATATCGGCGTATCGTCGATGTCGATAAGTATCGATATTTTTAGTTGTCGATATATCGATATTTATCGGTGTTCCGATATATCGTTGCATCCCTAATCATGAGCGCCCGCTGCTTTAGCGGAATGTGCGATGAGCATAACCTCCAGGATACTAACCAAACATAGACAGTACGTTACAACTAGTATTATACATCTAGGACATCATGTATAGTAGTATAAATGACAGGCTTGGTGTTATCTGGTGAAAACACCTTGAAGAATGGAGTTTCTGTTCCAAATGCTGGCTGATTTATGTGGTTTGGCAAGTTCGAGTTAAGTTACATTATTGCCAGACTGGCTGTGCAATACTACTGATAACATACTGTATGCCAGCTTTTCATATTCATAAGCACTAATTAAGTATATCGGAAACATCAAATGAAGGATTCCATGATACAAAGATAAACCTGGCCGCAAGACGTTTTAAGATCCAGGATCCTAGCAAGCTCAGAAAAAAAAACAAAAACAACTCGTGCCTTCGCCTTGCAAACTAGAAAACTTCTAATTCTTTTCAGATCACGTTAGGCGCCTAAATAACGTTCAAAAGGGGAGGCTTAAGTTTTATCTTTAGTAATAACCATATCTTTCTTAGAAGTTATTCACACTTTGCAGGTGGCATGCTGACTGGTGAGTACACGATGATGAATCCAGGTTCAATGGACTTCACTATCTGCGTAGATGGCCTCAAACCAATCCAAATTACGGATTCTCTGAAAAATGCTGGCAGGCTGCTTAAGATGTTTCCACGGATAAATTCCTTTGTTACATCTACAAGAGAACCACCCAGTTATACTTCACAACAAGTAATGGCCATGACCACAAGGATTCATGGACGGTCCATTGCTGCAGATCATGCTCACCATCTATTAGAGAGAGCAATAAAGCCTTCAAAAATAAAACCTGGTAACTTAAACAGCTAGCTTAGTATAGTATATAGTATACAATTACGTCAAATGAGACAACAAATTACAGCTGATTAATCTAGTAACTTTCAAAGTATCCCATATCGACAAGTGACAGGCAGGTCCGACACATGTGTCAACGCCATGTATGCCAACAGGGCCGTACACGGTTGTGACACATTTTTTTTAACGTACTATGACGTGCATATCACGGAAACCAATGTCACACAAATAGCATGTTTAAATACTGGAGCAGCGTTTCCTACAATTGAAGTTCGTGGTAGGATCGTCTATGTGTGACAGGGGGAGGCGGCGGCGTGTCTCACGATTCAGGTCTGAGAAAGTATACTAAGTGACATATAAATACGAACACCCAGTTTAAATGATCTATTTTAATAAAATTTTGTATATCTAAGTACTTAATGGAGCATAATAAGTAAATGATAAAAATTTCAAAATGGTTGCACTGCTTTAAAGCCCTTTGACCTTTAATAATGTGTGGATGCACCCTGATGTGCTACGCGTTCTCCAACGCGCCTAGGCATGCTTCTGATCAGGTGGTCAATGTCCTCCTGTGGTATCTCATTCCAGGCAACCACCAACTCCTCTCGAAGTGCTTCTAGAGTCTGAGGAGGACGTTGCAAATTGAGCAATCTCCTACCCATCTTATCCCACACGTTCTCAATTGGGGATAAGTCGGGAGATCTTGGTGGCCATGGTAACAATGTGACATCATTATGTTGAAAGAAGTCTATTGTGACTCTTGCAACATGTGGGCGGGCATTATCTTGTTGGAAAGTTGGATCTGCCAGGGTGTCAAGATAGGGTAAAAGACGGGGTTCTAGAACTTCGTGGATATAACGCTGCGCGTTCATGTTACCTCTGATGAAGATTAAAGGTGACCAGGAACCATAAGCTATAGCACCCCAAACCATAACTCCAACAGTGTGATGAACATGTCTTTCAACAAAAAACTGTGGATTCCTCCTTTCACCACGTCGCCTTCTAACCCTGGCACGACCATCGTGCATGCCTAAACAAAACCTAGACTCGTCACTAAAGACAATACTGTTCCATTCCTGATCCCAGAGTGACCGTTGTCTGCACCACTCAAGGCGCTTACGTCGGTGTTCTCGAGTTAATGGGAGGACCCAGTGTGGCCGGTATGAAAACAAGCCAAAACTTCTCATTCGTCGGTAAACACTTCGCACGCCAATAGGTCTTGCGTGTTCTGCAAACCATTCATTTGCAATGGACCTGGTAGTGGAGAAACGGTCCCTTAAGGCCAATAACCTTAGGCGGCGATCTTCACGGTCTGTTGTTCTACGGCGGCGTCTAGTGCCCCTTGCTCTTTGCGTACGGCCAGTGTCTACACTTCTTTGCACTCTAACTGCAATTGCCCGAAATGAAAGTCCAGCTTCCCGAAGTCCCACTATACGGCCCCTATCAAACTCACTAAGTTGACGAAATCGTACCGGTCTCCGTACTCTAGGCATCGTAACAGATCGTAAAGGATGTCAAGAACCAAAATCCGCCAACGTTGATTCTTTACTGCGGCTGAAATATTCATTTTTAGAGCGTTAGTGTATTAAAAAAAAGCAGTATAAAAACCGGAATGTCCAACTGATAAGGCTGAAAATTTTTTCACTTGTTATTTACAGTAAGATAAATACATTCACCAACTTTTATTAAAATAAAACCACTGAAACTGGGTGTTCGGATTTATATGTCACTTAGTATATTTTTTAAAATAAGGCATCTTGATTAAAATATCGAACTAGGGTGTCTAGGGGGAGAGCGTCCCCCTAGTCCTTCTTCTAGATCCGCTCTTTCGCTCTGTCGGTCTGTCCGCAAATCCTTGGCACGTCTATAATTTGGCAGGTACTAGGTACTCGGATTTGGAAAAGGTTTTTTAACAAAATTTCTACTACGTGAAGGATGAAAAAGCTTTGTAGTGACGGCGGACCAAGGTGCCAAAAACCAATAAAATTAAAAATCTGCCAAATTAACTTTTTTAACTCTTCAGAGGATCCCAATTTTAGAATAGTTTTTAGTGGTATATAGCGATTTTTTGAAATCAGTATTCTGTAGTTGTAGTCACCGTTCTTGGCGGGTCAAAGTAATACTACCAGTATCCCTTTATATATCTCCGTCTCCGTCATACATACACATGGAACTTACCCCTGTGTGTGAACGTTTGTTCAGTAAGCTCAAAGACATATGTTCTTTAGTTGTGTGTCTCCGTCTCGTATACTTTGTCGTTACGTATGAGTGCCCAAGTATTTTCAGGAAGAGAATGAAAATAGCGGTCACATGTTTTCCACTTCATGCGTACTGGAACGAGTAGCAGATGCGCTGAAGATTAGTCTGCGCAGTGCTCAGCGAATAAAATCAGAAAGTAAGAAAGCGTTGCCCATAGTAACACCTGGAGAAACTTTACAGAATCAAAAAATGCAAGACGGGTGATGCAAGTGATGACGTCAAAACAGAAATTAGGAATACATTCTACGATATGGGAAGCAAAGGACCACATATCACGACTTCTGAGCTCAATCAGGAGCTTAAAAGAAAGTACAAATACAATGCCTCGGATTCAAGTTTAAGGCGTCTATTGAAAGCTTGCGGTTTATCATACAAGACAGAAGATAACTGCCGACTCTTCTGTGAAAAATCAGACATTGTTTCTAAACGTATCTATTTTATGTGACGTTATATTATTAACCTAAACAGTACAGGCCCTCTCAAATGCGTTTTCTTAGATGAAACGTGGATATTTGCCGACGGGTCGCTTAAACGAGTTTGGCAATATAAAAACGTAAAGAGTTTGAAAAGCGGCCATCAGGGCACCGGCAAGCGGTACGTTGTTCTCCATACTGGGACCAAAAACGGTTTTTTGTGAAATACTGCATTTTTAATGCTGCAAAATCAGAAAGTGCTGACTACCACGATTCCATGGACAAGGATTCTTTAAGAAAATGGGTATGTGAGAAGCTGATACCAGCGATTCAAGAGCCGTCTTTAGTAATCATGGATAATGCCTATTATCGTAGTGCTTCACCAGAAAAAAATGGCCGATTCCAGTTAGAGTAAAATGCAGTTGAAGCAATGACTGCAAGACAAAAAGTTACATTCAGATGATGACACTTTTAAACTAGAGCTTGAATAAATAATCGGCTCCAAGATATCTCAGACGGAATATTACATGAGCATGGACATCACGTTTTGCGACTGCCCCCTGACTATCGTCAATACAACCCTATTGGGTTAGTCTGGGAAATAGACAATCAGTACTATGATCGACAAGGAAGTTTTGAAAGTTTGGGACGATGCTATAGCAATGGTGACTCCTACAGTTTGGGCCAAGTGTGTGATAGATACCGAGGACTTGATTAAGAGCAACTCAACAGGCATCAAGCGTTTAATAGTGAGGAGACTAATGTTATCATTCACTTGGGAGAAGCTTCAGATGACTGTGATGAAGAAATCATACTTTTATTGAAAAGCTGTAATTCATCATTTTCTATCTGTGCACCTTAATGTAGATTGTTAAATATTTTAATAGATATAGAAGTTACAAGCTTGATGTTTATTAAGGCGACATAAATTTAAAAGCTCGAGTTTGAGAGCATCATCATCAAAATGCATTTTTTTGTCTAGCAGTAATTTATTTAGTCGCATTTCACTCCAGGAAGAATTGAGCATTTTTATTATTGAAAATGGTTCTTCTAAAATAGGTGTGTTATTTTGTATTATATTGTAAATTCGGTATGTATTTTTTACTTCAACTCTAAAAACATCAACTGGCGTGTCATACTCTACCCATGTCTGTGTACTAGATTAGAAGGTTTTTGAGAATTAAGATTAGTAAATAATTTTGAATCGGTTTCTCTCAGTTAAGATCCGCCCATGGTACGGAGACTCGATCTGTTTACTTATTCATATGGCGTTGATGACCGCCAACAACGGTGACGACAACTATAGCATACGTCGAATGTCAGTAACTATTATTATTAGACATATATTTCACATCATAGGTACAATATCGAGAGGCATAGCGTTGTAGACAGCCCGGTGGGTGTTAACTATTTATGCAAGCAGTACGCTTGGAGTGTAATTTGATGAGGTTATTTGATTTTGTGAAGTAATATTATATAGTATAGTATACAGGGTGTAAACGTTTGATAGTCGTTAGTTAAATGGGTGATAGAGGGAGTTAAAAGGATCAGAAAATAAAATCTGACAACGCCGCAATGCCAGAGGCAAATTACGACGGAACCCAGTGTGGATAGAGATGGAGTTTGTTATTTTTGGTTCTTAGGTATTACCTCACTATTTGATAATGTACTCGTAATATGCAAAATATTGGACCAGCCCCATCAACCATGCCTTTAAGTTCTCCCCAATACCAGAAATCCATCGGATTGAGGTCAGGAGATCTTGCTGGCCATTTTCGAGGATCAGGAGCATTTCGACCTATCCAGCGATTCAAATACTGAATGACGCCTCCACAAATATGTGGTGATGCCCCGTCATGAATAAACCACAAATTCTGTCTCCGTTGTATTGGCGTCTAAGGTCTCTTCCAAAAGTTCGGGTAGGTTATTGGCTAAAAAGCTAAGGCATCCTTCTCCTGACAACTTTGGGAGTAACTCGAAAGGGACAGTTATCTGATCGTCAAGAATACCCGCCCAAATATTTATTTTAAAACGCTGGAAATGACCTTCACGAATGGTATGAGAATTTTCTAGGGCCCACATGTGGACAAGTACATTCATTCGTCGCTAGAATGTTTTTAAAAAAATCCGGATTTTCAATGTTTCTGTGCAAAAGAGACTGACAGAATGTTAGTCTGCAAAGATAGTCTTCTGTTAACAAGGCCTGCACTCGTTGTACATGCTGAGGATAAAGCAAATTTTCCCGTAGGATTCTATGGATCATGGTATGCGATAGTCCTACGCGGCGGCATAATTCCCGAGTGCTGACATCTGCATTGATTTCCACGATATTTAAAATTTCTTCCTCCTGCTCTACAGTTGCCTGTCTTCCACGAGTGCGAATATTAGTGGGCTGAACACTTTCTGTAGTTCGAAGTCTTTGGTACACTTGCACAAATGTCCTTCTGTCTGGGTGTACCCGTTGGCGAAATCTGTCTCAATAAATTTGAGTTGCAAGATTTGAATTCTGACGAGCTTCACCGTAAACTAATAGCATGTCGGCGAACTCTTGATTTGAGAACATTGTAAATAAGCACGACGACGTACGCGAACAATAACTAACCACCGTTACCGTTTGCAATCGATTGCCGGTTCGATAAGAGTGATGAATGACCGACGCGCTGTTGTCGTGTGTGTTTTAAATATTTAGTTTAATGAAACTTACTTACTTACTGACTACAAATTTTGGCTTAACTTAGAAAAACTTAATGCCATTTATTTGTTAATTACCCAATTTAAAAACGTTTTAGATTAGATTATAACACTTAGTAAGATTGTGGTGATTGTGGTCGATATAAAGCACTTAAAGTTGTAAACTATAAAGCCATTTAGACAAAAATCTATTGACTTTTTGACCATGGGTCATATGAACTTTTTGACTTGTTTTGACCCCCCCTACTACCCATTTCAATAATGACTACCATAACGTTTACATCCTGTATAGGTACGTACCAATAGCAATCAAATATACAACATTTTTGAAGAGCAGTTTTACACCAGATCTCCGAAGAAGTGACGCTACCGTGTATGGATACGATCTTTGCTGTAACCTGAGAAAAATTGCTTACATAACGACCCCAAACAGTGCACTAACGTTTCTGACAAAACCTACACCTCTTTGGTTTGGAAAATTGTGCTAGAAGTTGTTTCCAAAGCTTGAGAAGTATATAGTCAATCCACTCGACGCCATTTTTTCATATATGGGGTTGTCCAAAACGGACGCAGGAAAGTAAACGCATATTAAAACAAGAAAGATTGATATTCAAATCAAGTTGGGTACTTTATTTTGAAGGTTCATTTATACCATTTATGTATGAAAAATAATATCGCTCAAATGTTCACCACGACTGGATTTACAGACGTCCACGCGATGGTCGAAATTTTCAATGACATTTTGGAACATGGTCGGTTCTATGGCATTTATCTCGGCAATGATGTTGTTTTTGAGTTCTTGGAGGGTGGCTGGTTTGTTGACGTAGACTTTGCTTTTCAAATATCCCCATAAAAAGAAGTCCAAGGGAGTCAAATCGCACGATCTTGGTGGCCATGGCACATTTCCTCTGCGCGAAATCACGCGATCACCGAAGAAGGACTGCAATCGATGGATATTGACGTTGGTTGTGTGGCATGTTGCACCGTCTTGTTGGAAATAAACATCGTCCATATCCATTCCTTCAAGTTGCGGCAAAAAATAGTCCTCTATCATCACGTGATATCGCTCAGAATTGACGGTAACGGCGTCCTCGGCCGCATTTTCGAAAAGGTAAGGTCCGATGATGCCTTTTGACCACAATGTACACCACACAGTCACTTTTTGAGGATGCATCGGCTGCTCTTGATACTCACGGGGATTTTCGTTCGCCCAGATGCGGCAGTTTTGCTTGTTTACCGTCCCATTCAAAGTGAAATACGCTTCGTCGCTGAACATGATTATTGATGAAAAATTGGCATCAATTTGGCGGTGTTCAAGGAGCCAATCTGAGAACGTTCGGCGCGAAAAATGGTCGGCCCGACACAGCTCTTGCGTCAATTGGATCTTGTGGGCGTGTACATTCAAATCCTTGTGGAGAATGCGGAGCAAACTGGTTCTCGAAATGCCCAATTCTTGGGATCGACGCGTTGTTTCGGATCGTCTCTCACACTCTCCTTCACAACAGCAATATTTTCCGGCGTGCGAACGCTCCTAGGCCGGCCAGAGCCTGGCAGATTTGCCACAGAACCTGTTGCCTCGAATTTACGCACCAGACGACCGATGGTTGTTTCGTTTGGGCGGTTGTTGCGACCGAAATGTTCACGAAGCGCGCCAAAGGTGTTTTTTATTTTTGCACCATTTTTGTGGTGCTCTTGAATAACTTTAATGCGGTCTTCAATCAAATACGACTCCATAGCGATCAATGGTAAACATTCAACTAACAAAATGACATGTCGGTAACAGAAAACAAAGATGGCGTCTATGTCAAATTGACGTTTACTTTCCTGCGTCCCTATTGGAGAACCCTTTATATTATCGAATAACTTTTCATTTTTTTAATTTCTACATAAAAATGGAAATGATACAAATAATATGTCTGATAATGATCATGATTATAATTCAGGTCGGACGTACGAATAAAACAAATTTGGTTATGTTACTACTTTTAAAAATATATAGAGGTATACATACGGATTTGACTCTCAATAGGTATATCGTAACTTGTCGGGTCCTTGGGATTTTTTGAAGCTCACCGATTCGGTTATTTCTTCGATGCGAAAAGATCTTTCAGTGTAAGGCTAAGTCATGCTACAGAATGTTGTTTTGGAGAAATGGCGTCAAGTAGGTTCAATTCTCAGACACCGGTTGGACCTTGTTCTCTGATGTGTAAAATTCAATAGATGCATAGAAGTTCGAGAGTTGGAAGCGTACAAATATGGGGTTGTCCAAAATGGACGCAGGAAAGTAACCGCATATTAGAACAAGAAAGATTGATATTCAAATCAAGTTGTCTACTTTATTTTGAAGGTTCATTTATACCATTTATGTATGAAAAATAATATCGCTCAAATGTTCACCACGATTGGATTTACAGACGTCCACGCGATGGTCGAAATTTCCAATGACATTTTGCAACATGGTCGGTTCTATGGCATTTATCTCGGCAATGATGTTGTTTTTGAGTTCTTGGAGGGTGGCTTGTTTGTTGACGTAGACTTTTCTTTTCAAATATCCCCATAAAAAGAAGTCTAAGGAAGTCAAATCGCACGATCTTGGTGGCCATGGCACATTTCCTCTGCGCGAAATCACGCGATCACCGAAGAAGGACTGCAATCGATGGATAATGACGTTGGTTGTGTAGCATGTTGCACCGCCTTGTTGGAAATAAACATCGTCCATATCCATTCCTTCAAGTTGCGGCAAAAAATAGTCCTCTATCATCACGTGATATTGCTCAGAATTGACGGTAACGGCGTCCCCGGCCGCATTTTCGAAAAAATAAGGTCCGATGATGTCTTTTGACCACAATGCACACCACACAGTCACTTTTTGAGGATGCATCGGCTGCTCTTGATACTCACGGAGATTTTCGTTAGCCCAGATGCGGCAGTTTTGCTTGTTTACCGTCCCATTCAAAGTGAGATGCGCTTCGTCACTGAACATGATTTTTGATGAAATATTGGCATCAATTTGGCGGTGTTCAAGGAGCCAATCGGCGCGAAAAATGGTCGGCCCGACGCAGCTCTTGCGTCAATTGGATCTTGTAGGCGTGTACATTCAAATCCTTGTGGAGAATGCGGAGCAAACTGGTTCTCGAAATGCCCAGTTCTTGGGATCGACGCGTTGTTGAATGTTTCGGATCGTCTCTCACACTCTCCTTCACAAAAGCAAAACTTTCCGGTATGCGAACGCTCCTTGGCCGGCCAGAGCCTGGCAGATTTGCCACAGAACCTGTTGCCTCGAACTTATGCACCAGACGACCGATGGTTGTTTCGTTTGGGCGGTTGTTGCGACTGAAATGTTCACGATGCGCGCGAAACGTGTTTTTTATCTTTGCACCATTTTTGTAGTGCTCTTGAATAACTTTAATGCGGTCTTCAATCGAATACGACTCCATAGCGATCAATGGTGAACATTCAGCTAACAAAATGACATGTCGGTGACAGAAAACAAAGATAGCGTCTATGTCAAATTTCACTTTCCTGCGTCCCTATTTTATATTAACTCCAAAATAATTGCGATATACCCTCTCCTACTCCCTACAACCTCCATCCCCCAATCCTTAACCCATTCAAAAAGTTTATTTATGTTTCAGCTACTTCTTTTTTAATTTTGTTCCTGTCCCTATGGCGCCACCGGATCGATTTCCAAAACCTTCAAAGCTTTTTCGTCCTTAATTATTACCTTGTTACCAAGGACTAACAGACAAATTGACACACCGACGGAATTGAGTGACATGGTTTCATGTGATATAAAACAAATATAACATCTCATTTTCAAAATTTTTCGAGGTTTCAGTACTTTCGCGTGGGAAATAAAAGCAAATCAACTTTTCCTATGTAAATGATTTGCCTCGTATGAAGGTTTTGAAGTAGAAGTACGACTGCGAATGCAAAATGTCATGAAGTAACAATATGCTTTGCATATTTCGAGCTTCCCGTCTTTGCTACATCAGCCAGAATAAGCATAATGATTCTTTCAAATTAGAATGCACGTAGAATTTAAATAAGAACATGACCCATATATACTCAGTGATATCAGAAGTGTTATACCCAGAAAAAGTAATTTCTTCAGCTTGTTTCTTTGCAACATAATGACTATAGTTAAAGCATGCTATGGCAACAATGTTAACGTTTTATCTTTGTTTTTGTTTACCTTTGGTAAAATGTTTTTGTGAAGAAAGCAGTTTCTGAGAGCTGAGCAGTACATATATTTTTAGTTATTGACTTTTTATTTCATTAGATATCCAAATAATCACCATTTTAACAACTTTGACATTGCCTATCGAGATGTTGGTTTGTTCTATCGCGAAATTGGCCTTCGTGTTAATTGTATTGCAGTGTGTGTAGTGTGTGGATAAAAGAAGATAGATGAATACGAAGAAGGCATACCACTGAGCATCAAGATAGGTGCTTCAGACAACTAGCCCTACGAGACCGTTTTGCTACTACGCGTCAGATCACTGACAAATGGTTTGTAGAAGGAGGTGGACCTGTTACTATGCACACACGCTATCGCCGCATTCGAGTCTTTGGACTTTTTTTCTTACTGTCCACGGTTAGTGCTTCATCTGACTCCGGACTACTGTTGTCAATATTTGAACTGGAGCAGAGAACGGCAACATTGGAAGGCAGACTGGCATATTGTCATCTTCAGCGACTGATCGCGATGCTATCTAGGTACTTAGGGTAATCGCGCACTAGCACGACCAAGACCAAGACCACGACCCAGACCAAGACCAGTACTGGTCTGGAACAGCACAACCACAACCTCGACCAAGACCAAGACAGTTTTGTAATGTACAATAAGAACAACTGTCAGTCTGAAAATGATGTCGAGGAAATCGCAGTGGCCGTGTATGTGTACCATAAATATGTAAAAGGTAAAAAAAAACACTGGATATACCCCTTGAGAGCAGAGAGGTCTTTAAAAGGATACTTCGTTAGTTTGTGTGATAATTTACGTGAGCATGAATAAGTGTTTTTTAACTACACACGGATGAGTGTTAAAAGTTTTGACGAACTGTTAGTGAAAATTTCGCCTCACATAAGTGGAACTGATACTGCCATGCGGTTGTGTATTGGAAATGAAGAAAAACTACTAGTAACGTTAAGGTAAGTTTAATAATTGAATACTATTGTTAGAAACATAGTAAATCGATATAAACTTAGTACAAATGGCCAATTAATTGTAACAACTGAGTTTTTAAATTTATACTCCAGTCTATCTTAGATCTGGCAACTGTTGTTAACGTCATCAAAACATTGAACCAATGGGGACACTTGGTCGGCTTCCAGTCATTGAATGTGGGGTTGAAGCATTTCTTTGTAGACTGGTGAGAAGTTCGTAGTTATTGCCACCAGTATTCGTAGGAGGAGCTATTGAAGATCCCTGCTGGTAGATTCCCTGGTCGTATCCACCATAAATAGGATCTGTTTGTTGCCCAAAAATCGAAGGCTTTGTGAAGATCCCTGATGACAGTGGCCCATGTTCTTCAAATCTCCTGATTGGTGTTGTTCGATTACCAAAAGTATCTGGCGCTTTGCTGAAGGTTCGCTGTGCTGTGGAATATGGTTGAAATTCTCAACCAGAGACATCAAGAAAAGCCGATCTTCAAGAGATTGTTTTTCATTTTGTCTTCTCTCGTCTGCTGACTTCTTCAATACGTTTACCAGCTGTTTGCCAATGTCATCTGGAGCCTTTCTTGTTTTTGCTAGAACAGTTGTATAGTAGACTGTCTTCTGTTCCTTGATCATCATCAGAATCGCGGTCCTCGCCTAGCAAGCCTTGCTTAGTGTTAGTAGGCGGAGTAGCACTGTGCAAAAATGACAGCATATTATAGTAAACATCCTGATATTTTCTAGTAGCTCCAGATCCACTTTTAGTTCCAGAAATCCTTCTTTTTTTCTGTTAAAGGCGTATTCAATATGGCGCCATTTCTTCTGTATGGAAGTGCCTGAAAAAAAGTGGTGGTTGCAGATTACGAATATAACAAGGAAGCAATGTAATCTTTTTTTTTTCTTTCAGGTATTTGGCGGAAGGCAGTTCATTTTCTGATTTGCGTCACTACTATCAACTGGGACTTACAACAATAAGAGAATGGGTGAGAAAAGTTTGTTCTGCTATCTGGAATATTTTAAGAGAAGAATGTCTACTCGAGCCTACGCAAGACGATTGGGTGAGAATCGCAGAGGAATTTGAAAGTAGAACTAATGTTCCTAATTGTCTTGGAGCAATTGACAGGAAACATGGCAGAGTGGTAAAGCCACCCAACAGTGCATCTATTTACTACAATTATCAAAAATACTTTTGTATAGTCCTAATGGCAGTTGCTGACGCAAATTATAAATCTATTTTTGTTGACATTGGAGCTTATGGTAAATGCAACAGTTTTGAACAGAAAAGTTCAGTCCGGTACTATGAATCTTCCACAGGATAGACCTATTTATGATTTGAATCAAGTTTCAGTGCCCTTTGTTTTCTTAGCCGACGATGCTTTTGCCTTGTCACGCAGAGTAATGTGCCCCTACGTAGGAAAAACCCTAACTGAGGAAAAAAGGACTTTCAACTATCGCCACTGCCGAGGAAGACGTTTTGTTGAATGTACCTTTGGTATCTTGGCCAGTAAATCGAGGATTTTTCATAGGAATGTTGACGTTGAGTTTGCAACAGACATTGTAAAATCTTGTTGCACTTTACATTACTTTGTAAGAGACAGAGATCGTTTTAAGTTCCAAGATACGTTGAATGGATTCCCTACAGTTCATGAGGATGGTTCGGTAACTCGAAGACCTACCAGAGAAAACTACGCTTCAGGTGTAAGGAATTAATTTACAAGGTACTTTGTCAACGAAGGAGCAGTGCCATGGCAACGTCAGTACTTGTAAATATGATTGGCCTGTGGATACAAAAACAGATACAAGAACAATCTTATTTCAATAACGTACATTTTAAAACTATAGCTAAAGCCTAAACATTTGTCAGATTACTTTCTAATGAAGTTTAATAAAACTTTTGCCCCTGTGTGGAATCTTTTTTATTAAAAAATTTAAGTCTGTGGTTTTAAATATTACTATAATTGTTGTATCGTGTATCCTAGCTATGACAACAAAGTTATGATAACAAAACTAGTTTTATTTGAGTTTAAATAAAATTAATACTTAAAACATTCTTGAAAGTTTGAAATTTTGGATTTGACTTACCGGTTCCAGCCAATCTACGTTTAAAATACGTATTAATTAAAAGTTAGAAAAACACTTTCTACTTACACAATCAATTCTTCTGTTTTGCTGTTGTAAAGACATCGCCACGGAGTAGCAATGTAATTTCCTCCCATTTTTGCTTCTTCATTGTTCTATTGGCATAATCTTCCGATGAAATATCTCACAAGCAAGGCCTTTCCTGTACCTCCTGTATCAAACGTTCTGTATCAAACACTGATTCTGTTGCCATATTACAATACTGTCTACTAGACTCGTTCACCAATCACAAACAACTCAATCGCACAACACAACCTCTCTCAACTACTCGTAGTCGTAAACTGGCCGTAGGCAGTGCGCGTTGTTCTATAACAGCTGATGGAAGTCTGGCCGCAACGTCAAGCCGGTCTGGCTCTTGATCTGTGCGACCAGAGCGTACATCTGTGGTCGTGCGTCTGTCGTGTCTTGGTCTGACTAGTGCGCGTTGCAGTCGTAGAAGCGTAAGACGCCGCCGTGGAGAACAGAGTGATATTGGATTTGCTGTTGAGAGGCATGTACACAGGACTGTTGGAGCAATGGCTTGAGAGGCTGTTGCCTATGGTAGCCCAACACCCCTTCTCTTTGTTCAATGCAATATGACTGATGATGTCCTTCAAACCACTTCACTGCCGTACCTAGAGGACTGTCCACACGTCCTTTCTCAGCAAGACAACGCACGTCCCCATATTGCTCGTCATACTAATGACTCTCTTCAAGAAGCAGTCGTTAATGTTTTGCCGTGACCGCCCCCTTCACCGGATTTAAACCCCGTCTAATATGTGTGGGATATGATGGGGAAACGACTATCTACTTTGCACCACCCGTCACAGACTCTGCCACAGCTAATCTACAAAGTTCGAATTGTTTGAAATGGGGCGCCACAACCACACATCGATCATCTCATTTTGTTGATGCCTAGACGTATACAGGTGTATACTCAGCTGCGGGGTCGCCCAACACATAATTAACTTATTTTCTTATTACTTGTCAATAAAATTTCGTTAGCATGTTCGTTTCATTGTTGATCAAAGACTACCTCGTTGCCAAAAGATCAAGTTGAAGAAATTATTTCTTCTGGGTGTAATGCTTCTAACGTCACTGAGTAAACATAGTATTATAATACAAATACGAGCAGCATATCCCCCTATTGTTCACCTGAAAATACAGGGTGGCGCATCGAAAACGAAACAGACGCATTTACTGGCAGCTCAGTTTTTTTTTAAAACACTCAGACCTCTCGATTTTGTTTTCGAGGGGGACACAAGTTTGGCAAAAAATCACGTTAGCACGTGCATCCCCCTAAGCGGGGGTGACACCACCCCCAAAATCTTAAATGGAAAAGGGGGTCGAGTGATACCTTATTTCAAAGGCCGTTTAATTCCCTTTATAATGATATGAAATTAATGTACTTCAGTTCAGTAGTTTTGAAGATTTATTGATTTAAAGCTTAACTAAAACTAATACATCATCATTAGTGGAGATCAATATATTTGGCAGCAAAGTAATTTAAAAATGAAGAATGAACTGACCCGTTAGGCAGGTAAATGTTGAAAATGGCCACCATGACTCTCCATGCAATAATAAAGATTTTGCTCAACACGTTGCCGCACATTTTGCAATATTTGTGGAGTAATTTGAAGGCACTCATTCACAATTCTTTGTCGCAGGTCTTCTAACGATGTTGGCTGAGTAGCATAGATTTTGCTTTTTAAATGACCTCACATAAAGAAATCCAAAGGTAATAAATCTGGCGATCTTGAGGACCATTCAATGGCACCCCTTCTACCAATCCACCGATCTGGAAACGTCTGATCTAAATATTTTCGAACACGTAATGCGTAATGTGGTGGGGCATCATCCTGTTGGAACATCAACCTATTCGCAATGTACCGCCGATCATTCTGATTTGCAATTATGACTGTTAATGCAGGATCTATGGCGTCTTCCAGTAATTCCAAATACATTTGAGCGGTCCAGGTAAGAAAAAAGGACCAACTAAATGATCGCCAAAAATACCAGCTCAAACATTTAATTTTTGTGGCTGCTGTGTATGAACCTCATGATAAATTCTGGGATTAGAATCGGACCAATATCGGCAGTTATGACGATTTACTACGCCATTTAAGAAAAAGGAACATTCGTCGGAAAAGCAAGTGTTGAATAGAAACTGTTCATTGCTTATAGTTCGTTCACTCATATCTTCACAAAATTGTAATCGCCGATCAAAATCGTCTTTATTAAGTTCTTGTACCAGGTAAATTTTATACGGATGAAAACTATGGGCCTTTAGAATCCGTTGGAGAGTACGTCGACCAACACCACACTCAGGCTCCAATTTGCGGGTACTTTACGTAGGATCTACATGAACTTGCCCTAAAGCCCCCACCTCTATTGCTTCGTTCATTATCGGATTTTCAATGTTGCATTTTTTATTGGCGACTGACCCAGTTTCTCGAAATTTAGCTACAAGTTCTAGAACATATTTTCGATGCACGTTACTGTTCTCATGTCGCTCATTAAATATTTCTGCTGTTCTATTAGCGCACTGATTATTTCCGAAAAATATTTCGATAATTTCAACTCTTTCTGCTATGGTTAATTTATGTAATAAAGTGTTACAAGTTATTTTAGCAACAAAGTTTTGTCAAATCAATCGCAAACTATGTACTAAATTCCTATTTAAAATAACTACGAGATATTTTTTTTGCCACAAAAAAACGCTCCAATAGCTATTTTCAACAACAAAATGATAAACAAACCATGGGCGTAGTGAAGAAAAGCATTTACTTACTAAGTAAATTCTTTTAGTCAAATTTCTTCTGAAAGTATTACAAACTAATCTGATGTACCTGTTAAAGTCTACTTTAAGCTTGAAATCAATAAATCTTCAAAACTACTGAACTGAAGCTCATGTATTTTACATCATTATAAAGGGAATTGAAAGACCTTCAAAATAAGGTATCAATCGACACCCCTTTCCATTTAAGATTTTTGGGGGTGGTGTCACCCCCGCTTAGGGGGCTGCACGTGCTAACGTGATTTTTTGCCAAACTTGTGTCTCCCTCGAAAACAAAATCGACGGGTCTGAGCGTTTTTCAAAAAAAAAACTGATCTGCCACTAAATGCGTCTGTTTCGTTTTCGATGCGCCACCCTGTATATACCCCTAAGTTTGTCAATAATGATTTAGATATGTTTTTAGATTAAGATGCTGTAAAAATATATGTAACAAAGCAGCCAAATCATCCTATGGAAACACTAACATTTTATCACCGTTCACTTTGTGTTCTAGTGTATGTATAATGATTCTTCAAAAATTTCCAGGAAAATTCTACTTTACAAGGGACCCTCGATTGACACTGGGTGAGATCTTCACATTCCCGCTAGATGACCAAGTGAAAGCTGCCCGGAGGGTGACCACTCCGTTTTGCGTCATAAAATCCACACGAGGTTCCTACTATGAACATAAGGATAATTTCCATGCTCTATTGGACGCTCTGGAAGAAAACAACAGAGATTTTCAGTACCATATTGTAGAAGGAACACACCACACGATATTAAACAACCCTGAACGCATGGTCGATATTATTAATGACTTTATCCGAAAGCACTACAGTGGTGATACTAGCTTAAGCGGTTCAAGTAATACGATTTTAGACTTGTAAAAATGTGGTTAGTATGATACTTCATGTTTGTTGGAAGAACTCTTCTGATTACAAA